GGGTTCGAGCCCCGAGTCCAGCCCTGTGCTGACAGCTCAAAACCTGGAGCCTGCTTCAGATTCTGTGTCTCCCTCTCTCTCTGCCTCTCCCCTGCTCATGCTCTGTCTGTCTGTCTCTCTCTCTCTCAAAGATAAACATTAAAAAATAAATAAAAGTTAAAAAACATGTAAAGGGCTAACTCTGTAGTAAGTGTCCACTGTATCTGCTTGGATTAATTCTATTATTCAAAACAATGAATCCCCTCTCTTCTGCAATTCCAACAAGCCAAAAGACGCATGCGGATTTGCAAAAAAACAAAAACAGAACAAAAAAAACGCCTGAAAAATTACACCCACATAAACTCACAAATCTTTTTCCCTTCCTCATGCCTCCTCAAGAGCTGAGGCCACAGGCTTTGAGCCATGCCCCTATTGGTCAGACGCTCAACAGCACCATGCTCTGTGAATCAACCCAGAACACAGAGGGGCCTGAGTTTTCTGTGCCTTTGAAATGGGTCATTTCAGAGGAAAGGGTCCCATTTAGTGCAGATGTAGATGATGTGAATTTTAAAGAGCATGACATAAAACAAGAAAACACTGAAGTCTCCTTTTATTATTTTTTTAATTCATTTATTATTTTGAAAGAATGTGCATGTGCACAAGCGGGGGAGGGGCAGAGAGAGCGATGGGGAGAGAATCCCAAGTGGGGTCCGCATTGTCAGTACGCGGCCTGATGGGGGGCTCGAACTCACGAACGTCAGGATCGTGACCTGAGCCGAAATCGGATGCTTAACCGACTGAGCCACCCAGGTGCCCCCAAATCCTCATTTTATTTTTATTTTTTTTAATTTTTAAAATTATGTGTGTTTATTTTGAGAGAGACAGAGTACGAGTGGGGGAGGGGCAGAGAGAAAGGGAGACACAAAATCCGAAGCAGGCTCCAGGCTCCAGGCTGAGCTGCCAGCACAGAGCCCAATTCAGGACTTGAACCCACGAGCCGTGAGATCATGACCTGAGCGAAGTCGGACGCTTAACTGAATGAGCCACCCAGGTGCCCCTCCCCTTTAAATATTGGACAGAATTCACCAGTGAAGCCATCTGGGCCTGGGTTTCTGTCAGAAGATTTTTAAATTAATTCAATTTATTTATTTGTCTCTTCACTTTCTATTTCTTGAGTTACTTTCAGTAATCTGTGTCTTTCAAGTAACTTATTTACTTCAACTAAATTTGTCTAATTCTCTGGCACCAAGTTGCTAATAGTATTTTCTTATAATCTTTTTCTGTATGGTCAGTAGTAATGTCCCTTCTTTCACACCTGACTTTGGTCATTTGGGTCTTCGCTTTCTTATTTTCTTGGTCTTATTTTACCAAGGTCACATCCTTGGCAAATGTTCATCCTTTTTGTGGATGTTATCAAAGACCTAAAATTTTGGGTTTCGTTGATTTTCTGTTGTTTTTTTCTGTCGTCGATTTCAGTAATTTCCCCTGTCATCATTATCCCCATCCTTCTGTTTTATTTAGGTAGAGTTTGCTCTTCCTTGTTTCTTAATGTGGGGTATGGATTTGAGGCCTTTCTTCTTTTCGGATATAGGCATTTACGGCTGTGCGTTTCTAAGCACTGTGGTAGTGGCATCTACTAAATTTGATATGTCGTTTTATTCTTCGTTCAAAATATTTAAAACTTTCTCCTGCTATTTATTCTTTGTGTTAACCAAATATTGGGGGCATGCCCATTTTTCTTTCTTGTCGGCGCCTCTGATTGAATTCTCTTGTGTGGCCTTGCACAGCCCCATCCCAGAGAACGTCAAAGCGTGTGACCTTTCTCTGAGGCCTCTTGTTGTATTTAGGAATTTGCCCGGGCTATTTATTTCTGTGAATCCCGGCTCCTCTACAGCCTGGAGCTGCAAGATCTCTACTCAGTTTTGTTTTCTGGGTTTTTCTCCGTGCTTATCTTAGGCTTAGCTTCCTAGGGGTCCCACCCTTTTGTCCGCACAGCTCAGTGTTGAGGCATTTGGAGGTTGTGTTCAAACACCTGACAGCTCGCGAGGCTTCCGTTCTCTGCCGAAGGATCTGAATGTGCATGTGGGCTGTTTTCGAGTCTGCCCGGCTCTTACTTCCTTCTGGGCTCTTGCGTGTCTCTTCCGTCCACGTGCACAGGCTCCATTGTCCACGACGTGTGGGAGGCTGGGGCCTGCCCTGGTCTCCGCTGTGTGCACACACAGCCTGCAGTCAACTTGGAATATATGCGGAACGTATCGAGCTCAGCTCCCTCTCCCCGCCACCCGGTTGTTTCGCCTCCCTGTTAAATCCCTGCCTAGCACACCGGTCCGCCGCCTCTCCCTAACAGACCCAAACCTTCTCAACCGCACAGACTGGTGGGGCCACTGGCCCTTCCTGGGTGCTTGCCTCTGACGTTGTCACCGTGACTCAAAATGCTTTAAAGGGCTTCTCAACCTTGGCACTGTGACATTTCGGGATGGAGAATCCTTGGTTATAAGGGGGCCGCCCTGTGCCCTGTAAGGTGTTTAACAGCATTCAGGGCTTCAACCCTATGCAGCTAGCACTCCTCAGTTGTGACAACCCAAAGCATCCCCCGACACTTGCCAAGTGTCCCCTGGAGGGCGAAATATACTTGTTGAGATATATACTTGTAGAGCTCATCAATCATAATTTGGGAGAAGTCTTCTTCTAACCAAAAAATATCTTCTGTGTCAAAATATATAACAATGGGAAACAAACATGCCATATTCAGAGTTCAAGAGGCACACACCTCCTATCCCGAATGCATTACCTCTTTGCTCAAAAGTGTGAAAGCAAACCACAAAATACTCCACATCCTTCATCTTTTTTTTTTTTAAGCTTATTTATTTTGAGAGAGAGAGAGAGTGGGGAAGGGGCAGGGAGAGGGGGAGAGAGAGAGAGAATCCCAAGCAGGTTCTGTGCTGCCAGCACGGATCCCAGTGTGGGACTTGAACCCACTAACCACGAGATCATGACCGGAGCCAAAACCAAGAGCCGGATGCTCAACCGACTTGAGGCCCCCCAGGCGCCCCGCTCCACATCCTTTATCTTAACAAAATGAAAATACCAAATAGCTATTCGTCAGTAGCACTGACCAAGCATGAGCTGTGCCTGTCGCTCTTTAGTTCATCAGCTCTGAGATCAGGCTGGGAGGATGACCCTAGGAAAATAAAACAGTTAGTGCTTTCTCCAAAGTCGTTCTTGTCCGTGAGCATTATGGGGACAGGAGCAAGCAAGGACTGCGTGTCTCATCTGGAGCAGATGACACCTTTGTTTGCCACGTGCGGTATCCAGAATGATGGCCCCCCCAAAAGATCTCCACATCCTGATCCCCAGACCTGTGAATGTCAGGTGGCAAAAGGGGACTTTGTAGATGTGATTAAGTGAAAGATCTTGAGATGGGGAGATTATCGTGAATTATCCAGATGACCCAAAGTAATCACAAGGGTTCTCACAGGCGAGAGAGGGAGGGAGACAGAAGGAGATGGAAACACCACGACAGCCGCAGAGGGTGGACCGATGCCACCGCTGTCTGGGGGCCGGGAATGCAGGGCGGCCTGTAGAGGCCAGAAAAGGCAAAGACACACAAATTCTCCGCAGGGGCCTCCAGAAGGAACCCGCCCTGACTAGAGGGCGGTGAGACCCATTTCAGACTTGTAACCTCCAGGACCAGAAACCAGTGCACGTGTCTTGTTCCAAGCCACTAACCTACAGTAATTTGCCACAGCAGCACTGCCAAGGCAACACAACTCTGTGTGACGTCAGTCCAGCCTCCGGGGCCAGCTGGTGGTCGGTTTCCAATTTTACCTTGACTTTCTAGAGAAGCAGTCCTAGTGTGGAGGGGAAGACGGGGCCTCTGGAGTTGTGTTCAAGACACAACTACTCTTGTGTAGCCGTGGGCAAGTGACTTGCCCCGACTCGGTCTCCCCACGGATGGGGACAAGAGCACCATCGTTGGGCTTAGAGTGAAATCAAGCCGTGCGACATGAGTGGCTTAGAAGAGAGCCCGCTGCAGGATCCCTGCCGTCAGGCTCACGCCCGCCTCTCGCCCCTTTCTGCCTCCCCTCCCAGTGCGTCTATAGCGGAGTTCTGAGAGGAAGCGGCAAGCAGGCCTTTGGAGCCGTCGTGAACATGATCATGTATTATGTCATCGGCCTCCCGCTGGGCATTGTTCTGACCTTTGTGGTCAGAATGGGAATCATGGGTATGTACTGTGAGGGAAAGTGGGGGGAGGCCTGGGAGGACGCTGTCCCCATTTGTCACTTGTCTCCCCCAGGCCTCTGGCTGGGCATGCTGGCCTGCGGCCTCCTGGGAGCTGCTGCGTTTGCCGTCTACACTGCCCGGATGGACTGGAAGCTAGCCGCAGAGGAGGTGAGCGTGCGGAGATGCTCAGAGCACGTCAGGCCTCAGCAGCAGTGACCTGTGGGATGAGCTGGGAGGGCGGGGGGGTCACGGAGGGGCCCCCTCAGCCTCAACATCTCCGGGCACCGTAACTGGACCCCAGACAGTGCCAGGATACGGTCTAATTTCAAGGAGAGGCACACACACCAAAAAGCTTCCACGGCCAGCCCAAGCTGCTTGAAACCAAAGCAAAGAGCTCAAACTAGTCTGAACCCGGATGAGCCCCAAGAGTGTGTGCCCGACTTTGGAAGGGGGAACACCATCACTCTGTCCAACATCTTCTTGGCCATTTTTTTTTTT